ACCTTTTTGAAAACGGGAGCCGTTTAGGAAAATTGGGAGCCGAATGGGCTATGCCCATTTGTAAGATGGAGACAGCACATGGCAGAGTAGCCTCCTCAAAACAAATACGGATTTAAAAAAAAACAAACATACTTTTTTTCTTAACATCTTCACTTCACACAAATTTGTCATTTGCAGTCACTATTTCATAGAACTAACCTATCAATATTTAGTAAAATTATTTTTTGTCACCCCTACACTGAAAATTTAGATGTTAAAAAGCCAGTTGAAGCGTTGGAAAATTACTTTCCACCTGACAATAAATGCTTTTTTCTAACATTACAATGGTCAAAAGTCACTATTTAAAACAAATTATGTACATGAACATATTCTTAAGAAATTACTGGGAATTTTAACCTTTTTGATCACCAGAATACACCAACTAAATTCATTTTTCTACAGGAAATAATTAACGGAAGTTGACAATCGCAGCATTATTTTGATTACTTACCGTGTACAGACACAAATTTAAAAAAAACACACACCATTGTAAAATCAATATATTCATTTCTTTCCTCAGAATCTAAAATGGAGCTATTGAAATAGATATAAAAAAATTGTTTCATACCACAGGTGATGTCATATGAATATTGAGTTTTCCTCCAATTAATAGACGAACTTCAGCTACAAATCTTGTATTAGTTTTTAATACTTGAGGTGGTTGAGTTATGATAACAAAGGTACTAAATAAAAAATATAAGAAATAATAACAATAGAATATTTTTAAATTAAAAAGAACACACCTTGCCACTAGCGATGAAAGATACTGTGTTGTCATATCAAGAAGTGTATTAATTATTTCACATGACTGAGGTAATTCAAAATAACGGCCCAAATTCACTCTGAAACGATCAGCTTCTTTAATTTGTGAACGAGTTATCCATATTAGATCACATAATTTCTCACACCTAATAAAGAATATATTATTGTACAATATTCAACTTGTTCAACATTAATTTAATAGCAAGTTCTTATAAGTACCAAGTTTGTATGACATCTATATCTTTCATGTATTTATATCCATTACCAGCCAACTGTTGTTCGCGTTTCCATTGAATTAAAGCCTTATCAATAATATGAGCTTGAACAGGACTGAGCAAATTTAATGATTCATTTAGTTTGTTTATGTAGACACAAAGAGCATTGTTAAGACTTAATGATTGAGTCTTTAGTTGTCCTTCGTACAATTCTTTTTCCTGTTTTAATTTACGTTCAATTTCGGGTCCTTGAGGAATGTTCATTCTTTGATTTCTCATGTGTTGTAGATGTTCTGGAATATAAAATGTTTATTAATATGCACAGTAATAATGTATAATTTTCTAAACTTACGAGTACACTTAGAACATTCAGAATACAAAATATTAAAAGAATCAATGTCTGATTGAATTGTCATGCGGATTTCATTTGTGTGCGTTACATGGTTACTTATCAATTCCATCTGTTGCATTATTTCAATATTTTCTAATTCTTGAGAAGATTTTACATTGACTTCCATCAGAGACTAAATACAATTAATAAATTAAACTTTCAAATCAAATTATGTTCTCTAGTTATAATATTTTATAAATCCTCAAATTTAATTATTGTTGATGTAATATTATATCCACTCATATTACCTCACAATATTTAACAATTATTGAATTTCATAATTTAAATATATTAAAACTATATACATTTTAAAACAATAATTTTATTCAAGTTTTAATTATCAGCTACTATTCGATTATATACAAATAAAAACAGAATAATTAAAGGTAATAAATTAGTATATTATACTATTACTAATGATTATTGTTGAATTATAAGGTTTGGTCTACTATATATATTTCACTTTAGATATAAAACCATAGACATAAATCAGGGGATAGCCCCC